TGTGCGGGGGTATACATGGCTATCTGTGTGTGTGCGGGGTATACATGGCTATCTGTGAACACAAGGAATGCTTGTTTGTGAGATGAAAACTCCGTAACAATGTTCGTCACTTACTATAAATACAGCCGGAACTGTCTCTGATAGCCGGCCAATGTTGGGTGGAACAGTTGTTATCTTAGACAGGATCACGTCTTACGCAGTATCGTTATAGATCTAATGTTGTTGTTTTTAAAACCCGCAAGGGGAGATGGTAATTAACGGCTGTTTGTACAGCCACTTCCCGTTTCTCCCCTTGCGTTTTTTAAAACATTGTTGGTTGATTGTCTTAAACAGGTGGCCTTTAGAGTAGGTTTGACTGTACAGGGCTAGGCCTATATTATCACCGTTCGGGACGAATTCGAGCCCCAGTTGCCCACGTGATTATTTTGACAACTACGTAGCTTGACCACCACTTAGAATAGGCTACAGGCAGAATAATGTCCGAGAGTGGATCGAGAGTATAGTGCTATGACCTCATGTCGGTCAATGTCTTTTGCGGCGGCAATTCATTACGAGAGACGAGTGTTCGTGCTAATCCGCCGGTCAGTGTAGATCACAGAGTGTAGAATTGTGTGGTGTAGATCTACTACTTCTGTCTGATCCTCACGTCCAGCACAATTTGTACCTTGTGCATAAACCTGTTGTAAAAGCTTAGCGCAGCGTATGACGTTCTCAGATTGTTGCATCCAGGGCTCATCCCAGATTTGTTGCGATTGGCTAATTTCTTCTGATGTGGAGATAAACGAATGCAAATTGTATACACATATGGATACAACGTTGTGTTGTGTATGTATTTATGGAGATCTGTCTTTTGGCTTTCTTTGGTTCCAAAATCAGAAGACAACACCCAATGTCGTAGCCTTGACAGAATGTGAAACTAAGATAGGAAGACAAGAGCTAAATAATTAGATGCAAAAAAGAAGTAGAAACAACACGACGGACATATTTAAGGACAAGCGGGCTAACCCAGATTTCGGGGGTTCCCGAAATCTGGACCTGCACCAAAAGTGGGCATTGGCCTACCCAATGGCCTACCTATAGGATTAGGAGAACTTTGGTTTCATTTGTGCGCATATACTTATGTGTTCGGTTATAGAGAAAACTCTCCTTGTCTTTTAAAGAACCTGAACAGGGGAAAAAAACGTTACCTTCGATCTTCTCTAAACAGCATTCTTCGGGATAGCCCCCTTGTACTTAAAAGTGACCATGTAAACCTGACCATAGAGGTTACGAATAGTACGTAGAAGCCAAA